ATTGCCCCAGCTGCTGGAAGTGGTGGCAGTAGATTGCCTTCAGTGGTCAAACCCTCCAAGGACTGTATCAACTGCAGAGGGCCACCTTGCCTAAGATCGTGCTCCCTCTCAGAGTAGCCCACATCCACTGACTGATGGATGTGGACATGGAAAGACCTGGCCGTCTTGGCCAGTGGTGTGCTGGAGCCAGCTTCTGCTGGCCCTTGAGACCTGACTGTGCACATCTCCAACCCCATGTTCAGTGACACGACATCCAGAACTTGAAATTAGGCATCGTGTGGTGTTTACACCATGGAAATTGGCAGACAGTAACAAATCAGGCCTTTTGTTTTTTCAGAGTCAATTTGCCAGCACACCACTTGTTCTTGGCCCGATTCAGGACTATTCTAAAGCCTCTGACAGGCCCCTCTGTCTCAGAGGTCTTCATGGGGGTGGCAAGGCTGCTGTTGGGCCTTACAACTCTACCTTTCCCTCTGCCCAGTTTGGCTCTCACCCCTCCCATACACACGTGCTGATCCCACGGGCACTCCCTGCATGCTGAACTCTCTCTGAGTTTGCTTCCTGGGAACTCAACCTGCAACTCTTTTTTTTTTTTTTTTTTTTTTTTGGTAAGTTAAGTTTTATTTGGGGCAAAATGAGGACTATAGCCAGGGAGAAAACTTCTCAGATAGCTTTCAGGCCAGGTGTTGAAGGGCAGCAACTCCTGCAGCTCCTAATGCTGTTAAAGTTTACCTAACTTTGCAGATTTCTTAGGCATTTTATCAGGAATGCTAGGTTTTCCCAGAAGGAAGTTTAGAATATATCATACAAAAAGGTTCTGTCCCATGTCAAGATTGAAGAAGTTTTCCTTTTACAAGGTTTTAACTTTCTGGACCATTCCATCAACAGGTAAGCTCTTAATGGAGGCCTCTGGTTGGTACTAACCATCATACAAGCCACCATGAGCCCATGAACCACCTACCCGGAGAACACTGAATTCCTGTAATATGTGCTTGTTGAATGACTAAAATGAAGCACATTCAAATTGCCCAATTAAAGACTTTTTTGGTAAGAGTCTATCACTTATTCTCGATCTTTCTGGTTAAAAAAGACATAGTATGTGGTAATAGGGTGGGGAATCACTGAATATTTTGCTTCGTTGAAGGCTTTTCACTATTTTTTTCTGTTTGCCTACTTGTAGAAGTGATAGCAAAAGACTCAAAAACATATATGGCCTGATCATTGGCTAATCAGAAAGAACCCTGCCTCTCGCATGCAAGAGAAGGGTCAGGTATCAATCCTTTGGGTGTTGAATCTTAGGATGGGTGAGGAGGGAATTCCTTGGAAAGAGATTTGGGACACTTAGGAAGCTTAGGGACAGAAGCTAGTTACCAGCTTGTATGCAACTGTTTCAATATTTCAGCAATGGGATGCCTTTGCGGGTGCCTCCCAGCTGAATAGCAAGCTCAGTTGTACTTTTAAGCTGCTCCATTTATGACTTTAGTATTCTACATCTCAAACGCTTTTAATTTACCTAATGAGACAAACAAATATTATGATATTGCTCTCAGTGAGTATCCCAATCATCTTTACCTGGGCATATCTGTGCACATGGGGTGAAGTATACTTGGCTTGCAAATTCTAGGCTATAAATAGCACCAACATTTTCTGATTAAGTTTAAAATATTTTTTGATGCAACTTTTGTTTTATTTCTTGGAAGACAGTATTGCTTTATTGAATCTGGACTTGACCATTATTTTATAAAGGAAAGCTAAGTTGAAAAAATTTTAATGAAGAGATACAATAATAAAATCTTACATGTCATTTGGTATTTCACTTTGTTTTAATGCACATTTATTAAGATCATTTCCTAGGTACCGTAAGTGGTGTGGAGAATACAAAGATGAATAAGGCAAGCTCCCTGCCCTTCAGGGGATGCAGAGGGGATATAATGGGGGATCCTAAAGCAGGATAATGGGAATGAATGGAAGAGTATCCAGGAGTGGTAAAAAAATGTAAGTCTGGAGTATAGAGTGGGAGAAAATAAGTATTCTGGAGATAAGTCTGGAATGGTGGAGTATTAGGATGCTCTCAGTTGTAAATGACAGAGACCAACACAAACCACCTTTAGCAAACAGGGATTTAATTGGCAGTATAACTGCAAGGTCTAGAAGGTATACATAGGTGGCCCTATGTATACCTATGTGGGGTAATAATGATGTGTCAAGATAGGGTCATCAGCTGTAACAAATGTATTACCGTAGTGCAAGATGTTGATAGTGGGAGAGGTTGTGCGTGTTTTGGGGCAGCAGGTATCTGGGAACTCTGTACTTCTCTGCTCATTCTCTACAAAATAAAAGTCTATATAAAAAAAAAAAAAAAAGCAGCTGGGGCTTTTGAATAGAGATGTGAATTTAAATATTTAAATTCAGAGGAGCAAAATGACCCCTGCTGACCAAATGGAGGCCTGAGAGCCAGCAACTGCCCAGCTGAGATCGTTCTCAGCCTTTGACTTTTCAGCCCTTTTCTGGGATCGCACTGAGAATCTATATTAGTGATAATGAGTAAATCCAGTCATTCTGTAAATGTGGCTGTTTAAGGCATTTAATGTGCCAGACCCTGTGCTTAATGCATGGTGGGAAATAAATCACAAAGCATTGGCCCTGCCCTCCAACTTCATAGACTGGTATAGTTTTTCTCAAAGAATAGTCCAATAAGGAGCACTTTGAGGCACTTGCTAAAATAACAGAATTCAGGACTTTTTGTAGACCTCCAGAATGAGAATCTACAGGTGTCTGGTCGGGCCACTCAAGATAGCTGTTCTCTTGCTCTCTGTATACCCTCTGCTCGACCAGTGCCTGCTGCACCTACACCCTGCTCACATGACTGACCTTCCTGTGCACTTGCCCCAGGTCCCAGCTGGTGATTGTTCTGATCCCAGGGGTGGTGAGGGGCGTGCCCCTCTGCTGGTTTCTCTGGTAACCCATGAGCCAACCTGACGTCAATTTCTCCTATAATTGGCAATCTCCCCCCACTCTCGGGCCGCCCCCCCCCCCAGACTGGGTGCATGACCCAAGAATTTGCATTTTTAACATGCATCCAAGAGCCTTGACTCTCAAAATGTGGCATCACCTGGGAGCTCACTAGAGGTGCAAAGGCCCCACCATAGACCTTTTGAATCATGATCTGCATTTTAACAGGATCCCCACACATTAAAGTTTGAGAAGCACTATTCTAGAAGATTCTGTTACATGCTGAAGTTTGAGAATCAGTGGCCTGGGAAGACTAATGAGTATATAGATGAATTTGGCACAATGTGATGAGTGCATTTATAGAGGAACATGTGAGTTCCTCTGGGCATGTTTAAAGGATCCGGTTTCTCTGTCAGAGATTTCCAGGAGAGGTGTGATGCCACTTGCTTCTTAAAAAGCAAGAAGTTGGCCAGGCTAAAGGGATGGGGCAGGGGTGACAGCTCTCATCAGAGGAAACCCAGTGTCAAAAGTCCTGAGGCAAAAGAGAACACTGCATGTTTAAGGAACAAGAGATGTATCTCGAATTGCAGTATAAGTTTTCAAACAAACATTTAAACTCTAAACATCAACCAAAAGAGATATTTTAAAAAATTCAATGGTTAAAGATTCTCTTATTAATCTTTAAGGGAGTGCAGGAATCAGATTTTTCGAATCTTATCGTGCTGTTTCTCTGGCCTCCTTTGACAATTTTTTTGTGTGTGTCCATTTCTTCATTCATTCATTCAAACATATATACATTACACACTGTGCTTTGTGCTTATTATGTGGTGGTTTCTGCCCTCAGGGAGTTTATAGGTGAGGCTGGAGTGGGAGTGGAGAAGCCAGTAGAACAGGTAAATTTTAAAAATGGGTAATTATAAATTGAGAAAATGGCTAAGTGTGCTATGATGGAGAATAAAGCAGGAGACTTCAAGGAAGGTCTTCCAGCCAGACTGAGGTAGGAGACAGATGGGCCCTTGGGCTGGACAGCTGGTGTTTGTCAAGTGGAGTAAAATTGAAACTTTGTTCTCACTCCAAGGGCAAAGGTAGTGGCAGAAGCTGAGCTCTGCTAAAGTAAAGAGATAAGACGACCACTCCTGAGGTCAAGGAACACTTCCCTGTCTGCGCATGTGCAGAAAGGCTCCTTGAGGGTCAAAAAGGGAGGGGGCGCCACCCCATAATAAGTGTGGACATACACCCACAGGCTTCTGCAGTGGGATTCATCTTAGCAAAAAGTTGCGCACAGCCCTCCTCCCCTCCCTGCCCGCCACCCCCAACGTCTATTGGCTAGGATTCCTGGTTTTCATCCAGGCTACCCAGGTTCAATTCCTGGGCAGGGAACTAGGATCTCTCTTTAGGACCATTCACTGCTGTCTCTCCGAGATCAAGACCACCCTATCCTCTTGCAACGTGGCCAAAGTCACTGTGGGGTGGGTTGGAGTGTCTCACAAAGGAGCACTCAGGTTGCCCACCAGTGCGCGTACACACACACACACACACACACTTTCTGTTTTGCTGGGAATCCGAATGGGGGTTAAGACCTCCTCTCAAAACCACCCTCTTTCAACCTGCTGGCTACACCATGAAAGGGGAGTGAAAATTGATTTTCATCGCAGCTCCAAACCTGAAATGTGAAGCAATCTCTAGGTTCTAATAGTTCTATTTTCAGAAAGAACTTCTCTTTCTAATTCTCTTAGCCAAGGGAGCTGCTAAATAACAAGTCTGGTCCCTGGCATGTTTCAAGTGAAATTTTCCAATTGCAAACATCCATCTGTGCGTTGGGAGGAGCAGTGAGGAGACTCTGCGGCACATACCATTGTTTTCAAAAAGTGTGTGATGAAAACTGTGCGTAGGAAAACAAAGAGATAAGGAGGCCAGGAGGGTGCGGGCAGGCCCTGAGTGGCGCTGGGTCCCTAAGGCAGGAAAGACGAGTCCTTGCGGCCTGGAACCTTGTGTGTCCGAGTCTCGCTTCCTGAGCTGCTGGAAGGAAGCATTTAAATGTGGGACCGCAAGAAGCGCTTGTAAACAGAGAGCCGGGCCGGAATGGTCGGTGGCCGAACGGGCCGTGACCGTGAGGAGAGCTGGCTGCCAAAGCCGAACCACAGCCAGAAGTAGGCTGCAGGCCCCGCAGGTGAAGGGGGAGAAGTAGCCGGAGGCCAGGTGAGCATCTGCCTGCTTCTGTGCTGCCGGACTGGCCACTGCGGGAAGGGTGTGGGGATGACAGCATTGTGAGTATCCGAGAAGCTCCCTGGCGTAGCGGTGATTTTGCTGTTTCTTCCATGCTCTGGTTTCTATTTCATCCTGGAAACTGCACAGCAGTGCAGTGGATAATAGGTGAGGGGAGACTGTATGATGCGTTGTCTGTTTATTTTTATGAATCAGGTATATAAGTAGAAAGCAGTTGAAATAGCTGGTCCCGTTCTGTGTGTTGTTTTTAGTACCCCGTCGCCCCTCCTGGGTCTTAGAAACCAAGCCTCAGCAGAGCTTTTAACTCACATCTAACTGGGGCTTTCAGACTACAACGACTGTTCCATCTGTTGACCTTGTTCATTTTTAATATACAGTAAATGACACTATGTGACTGATGACAAGCATGATTTGGTCTTCCATGAAAGGATTACTAAGCTAAAAGATCGAGATAAGGACATTTCAGACCCACTCCTCAAATAAAGTGTTACTACTGAGATATACAAATGAATGACAAATTGAGACTGGTCTAGAGTTATAGCTTGCAAAGCAGGACAGATTTGAATTTACTAGGTTAAACTGAGATTGAGCTATGCTGTTGTAAACTAACTTGGAAGTTTTTGTCTTCTTGGAAAAGAGAAATACCTGGGTTTTTTTCCTTTAATATTATAATTTCAGTAGTCATAGTGAATTATGATTTGTATTCATTCATAAGATACTTTATTATAAAATACCACACATAAATTATAATTGGCACACCTTAAGATATAAGGCAAATTTTGTTTCATTAACTTCAAAAACAAATGCCTTAACCAAAATTGGGCTAAAAGGTCGGTAGGCATGTGTCACCTTGGTCACATAGTCTAACTTTTAGTTACTAGAAGAATATTAGATTAAATTGCTCATAGAAAAGTGTTTTAAAGTCATGCACATCAAGGAGATAATATTAATGCCTGATGAGTTTGTCTTTCAGTGAGTATTTTCACAATGTAATGGTTCATATCAAGAACTATAAAGCCATTCTGGGTTTGAATTCCTGCTTGGTCACTTCCTATTGTGTAACCTTGGGCAGTTTATTTGCTATATTTCTTAATCTGTAGTATGGAAATAATAACAGTACTGATTTCATAGGGTTGTTATGATGATTAAATGAGTTAATATTTTTAAAGTTCTTAGAACAGTGCATGTAGTAATTGAGATATACATGTTTGTTAATAAATACATAAAATAAAGATATACCAATGTTGAAAGTAAAATGGTGGTTGCCAGGAGCTGGGGGAGGGGCGAAATGGAGAGTTGTTAAATGGGTATAGAATTTCCGTTTTGCAAGAGGAAGCATTCTAGAGATTAGTCGCACAACAATATGAATGTACTTAATAGTTTGGAACTGTACACTTAAAAATAGTTAAGATAGTGAATTTTATGTAATGTACTTTTCCCCACAATTAAATCTTTTTAAAATACCAATGTTAGCAAAGTCATATACAATCATAGGAGAATTTGTTCCAAGACCCCCCACAGATACCAAAATTCAACAATGATCAAGTCCCTTATAAAATGGCGTAGTGCTTGCATATAACCTCTGCTACGTACATCCCCTGGTATAATTTAAATCATCTCTAGATTACTTATAATACCTCATATAATGTAAATTGTATGTCAAGAATTGTAAATTCTATGTAAATAGTTGCCCAGTGCCCAGCAAAATTCAAGTTTTGCTTTTTGGAGCTTTCTGGAGTTTTTTTCCCCGAAATATTTTCAGTCTGTGGTTGGTTAAATTTGCGGATGTGGAACCCAAGGGTACGGAGGGCCGACTGTGTTCAGAATCGTTGTTGTCCTTAGTTGTTGTCCTTAGTTGTCTTTGCCATTGTGAAAATGCAATTTCTGGCAGTCATCAGTAAGATTCACTTACTTGGTAAATTCATGAAATTAAGACATCATAAAGAGCACAAACAAATGATAAGAAACAACATCTAATACCCTATGGCAAGCACAGTTCTGAAAATGCCCCTCCACCAAGATTGCATACCCTCATCCCCAGAACCCGTAAATATGATGCAGTATCACTTCCTTGATCATGTTTCTTTATATGGCACAGTTGAATTTAAAATGGGGAAATTAGCTGGTGGGCCAAATCTAATCAAAGAGGCCTGTAAAAGAGGAGAGCATTCTCTGGCTGGGGAAATCAGGGAGATCTGAAGCCTGAGAAGAACTGAACATGCTGTTGCTGTTTTGAAGGTGGAGGTGACACTTGAGAAGGCATGGGGACAGCCTTGAGAAATGCGGGAGCCCTAGAATTGCTGAGGGTGACCCAGTGTGGAAACTGGAACCTCAGACCGAGGGTCAACAAACTGAATGAGCTCAGAACTGGATTCTTTACCAGAACCTTTAGTTAAGAACACAGCCTAGCCAACGCCTTGATTTCTGCCTTGTGAAAGAGAGCCTGAGCAGAGAACCCATACAACCCCACCCAGACTCTGACCTTCAGAATTGAGAAGTAAGAAATGGGCGTTCTTCAACGAACAGTAGCCCCGACTCGCCGCAACTAGAGAATGCCCATGTGCGGCAACGAAGACCCAATGCAGCCAAAAATAAATTAAATAAAATAAATAAATTTATAAAAAAAAAAAAGAAATGGGTGTTGTTTTGAGGTACTAAGCTTGTGGGAATTTGTTACATGGCAAAAGAAAACTAATATGACAGGAACAGACTACCCATACAAGAGAAAACTGAATGGCTAACAGTCACATGAAAATGCATTCTCTTTCCATTAATCAAAGAAATGAAATTGAAACAACAGCAAGGGACCATTTTTCCAGCTCTCAAATTTACATAGATTTAAAAAAATTCTAATTCTCCACATCAGGTAGTGGGTAGTGGAGCAGACACTCTTAGATGCTGTGAGGGGTGCGCAGATGTGAAAGCTTTCTGAAAAACTCATTGGCTGAATGTACGAAAAGTCTCACTAAATGTGTCCACTCCTCGATCCAGTAGTTCCACTCCTAGCAGTCTGTCCAAAGGAACTTATGAGAAATATTTTAAAAGTTAATGTTCACAAGTGCTTAATATGGCTTTGGTTAGAAAAGTCAGATATTGGCAATAGTCTAAATGCCCAACAAGAGGGGAACAGTTTAAATAAATTATGCTATCATCAAAAGTCATGGTTTTATACAGATTTGTAAAAGGATGTTTATGAAGAGTTTTAACAGTGTGGAAAGGTATTTATCAATTTTTGCTAAATGGGGGGAGATAGGCTAGAGAACTGTATGTGCAGTCAACTCTCAACTATGTTTAAAAAACCAGAAAGATCTACCTACATAAGGAAAGGGACTGAAAGGGCCAAAATGGGGCAGTGCTTTTTTCTCATTGGAGGATGAATAGGCATTGTTTATTTTCCCTTTTATACTTTCTGTATTTTCAAAATGTTTAACAATAAGTATATAGTAATTGTATATAACCATAATAATCAATAAACATTATTTTAAAAGCTGTTAAAACTCTATGTTGTGGGGAATACAATGAATCTAAGACATTGTCCAGTCAAATAATAGAGAATATAAAAATCCATAAATAACTTAATATATGGCAGGAAGTGATGTTTTAAAGAAAGACTAGAAGATAGGATATGATAAATATGGTTGGAAAGATTGAAATAAAGTTGGATAACTTATTTCTCGATAAGGGTAATCAGTGAAAGCTTGGTGGTGGAAGGATGGCTGAATATCATACTGAAATGATAGAAAAAGGAAGCTCATGGTTGAGCTTTCGTTGTCTTTGTTTTCTCATAGATTGATGGATTTTAGGCTTTGGGCTATGGACTCAGGTTAATTATATAAGTGGAAAACAAAGAACTGTGATGGATATATAACCATTAGCAAAAAAGAAAAAGAAAAAGCCCTCTGCATGTTATTACTAGGAAAACCAAACTGGATGTAGGCCGGTAACTGCTGCATTAAAAAACATCCAAAGCTAATATTTATTGAATACTTATCAGATACTTAATATACTCTATTCCAGTTTAATCATGTATGCAGCCTTCCCGTAATACTTGAAGTCACGTCATACATTTACAAATTTAAGAAACAGGCAGGTAGAGGGGTACTACGTTAATTACTGGTTTCAGAAGACCTGATTTTAATAGAAACCTGAAAAGGTTAGACCATTTGGGCAGAATTTTTAGCATTCTCCATCTCTAGACAGTTTGCAGGAGCCCCAGACCACTGCTACTCCTTCTTTTTTTTCCTACTAGCTCCTTTTTCTATTTTCACTTTACACTCTCCTCCAACACCTGTAGAAAAGTATGGAAAGTGTCTGTTGCTCCACTGGCTGTTAGCCAAATGCTGATTTTCTTCATGGGGAGTGTTAACCCTTCAAAAGAAACCCTGTGGAGGGATATCTAGAAAGGAATTGCTTTTTTTCTTTTTCCTTTTTCTTTTAGAGTGGATTTTATATATGGTTCATAAGTAGCGGAACTGTATGCTAGCTTGGAGTTTCTGGGGCAAGCTAATGCAGAGAATTGAGTAATGAGTGAGAGTGTGATAAGAATAACCACCAGTAGTAAATTCCATGCATTGTGTTTGCTCTGTTTCATTGGCTACTGTAGGTATCACCAGACAGCAATAACAAGCCTACATAGTTCACCTTCATATTGACAGTAAGGTATGAAGTTTATTTGGACCATGAGGGTAATTAATGTTAATGGCAACATGAATTATGAGCAAAAACCAAAGTCAAAATATAGAGGCCATTGTATTGAGATGTCAGGCATGCTATTTTCATTAACATTTTGTTTGTTTTTCATACACTCATTAACTGTCAATTTGAGTTATGTGTTTTAAATTGGATTCCCCGATTATATGCCACATTTATGAGTATGGGAGAGATTTGTCTAGTTACCGTGATTAGTGTAACCAATTTATAATTCAGTACAAACTGAAGCTGCCCTGTTCTGCATTATCCAGTTTACTTGTGGA